CCGTAAGGAACCTTGGGCCGGATCCGCAGTGGTATTGAATCGAATCCGTTCGGCGGCCGGTAACTCAAACGGCTGTCGGTGTTATGAGCTCCAATGCGGACGGAAAGACAGTGTGCGTGTTCCGTTGAGAACGAGCACTGTCTGCCGTCCGTGTTGCTGCTGATTGGCCGGCCGTCAACTGCTGACACAACGACTCTGACAGCCGCACCGTCGACGAGCTAAGCCGTAACAGGTTCCGTTTCGAAGGGTCCTCCTCCAAATCTTTCGTTGGCTGCAGCCATGTTCCCTCCACGCCCGGCCTCCCTCCCTGTACTGCGCCAAACGCCTGCATCTGCACCTGCACCTCTCGCCCTTTTTTGTTTCTCTGCCCTCGCTCCCTGATCCTTTTCGACAGACACTCTTGCAGGCACAGGCACGGCACAGAAGAAGCAGAACGCAGTGCAGCAGCCACTGCTCAATCCCACTGTCGCTGTCACTGTCACCATCACTGCCACTGCCAATGCCCTGCAGCTGCCATTACGACTGCTGACGCCCTGAGCCTCGTCCTCGTCGCCCATGTTCTCGTCATAGCCCCCTCGTTTCCTCGCCTTTCCTTTTTCTCACCTTACGGTACCTTACCGAATACTACCACTCAGTAGACTCCCTTACTTGCTCCTTATGGTCTCCCTCTCCCTCTCCTTTCCTTAACCCCTCTCCCCTACCGTGGCCTTCCGGGTCCTGGGCTTTCTTCTTTTCCTCTTTCCCTCCCTCTCTCTTCTGCTCTCTGCCCTGCAAGGGATCGAGTCAATCCGTCATAAGCAGTGAGAAAGGTTATTCCAGCGCCCAGGTTCTTGCTTCAGTGAGTTTGTTCATCCTGTCCCCTCGAGTCCCCCAAACACCACCCCCACGGACGGACTGTTTCCACATCAGACTCAAGGCAGACGGTCTACGGCTACTGCAGTCCAGATACCTTGCAGTCCAGCCAGTCCATCCACTGTCCAAAGGGTCGGCCGGACCCCGACCAGAAAAGAACCTTCAAACTGACGCTGGCCCGGCCTGTGGGCGCCGTGTAGGTACTTTTTTACCCTAGGTTGGCTAGTCTACCTTGCCGGACCTAAACCCACCCAGGCTCGACCTAACGCCGTTCCGTCCCCCGTCTTGTCTCTCCTCCCTACGCCTAACGCCTACGAATACGTCGACTGTTTGACGGGAGGATACGGCTGTCTTGGGTGTTGTTCGAATACACACGGTGCACCGTTCAGACCTACCGTACCCAGCACCGTCCCACGCCTCCGAATCGCAGACGGTCGCCACCCTCCCATCCATCCAGCTGATAACCTCGCGCTTTATCCCTCTTCCTCCTTTCCCCCACGACCGCCTGCAACTGCAACTACTGCTGCCGCTGCTGCGTGCGACTGCGACTCGTCGACTCGACTCTTCCTACGACACACGCACGACCGTCGTCCCGTCTTGTCTGCGTCCAACACACAACGCACACCACACCGTACCCACCACCACCTCCAGTCCACACGTTGCATATAATCATGTCAAACGGTCCACCCCAGTCCTTGCCGCCGCCGATTCACACGGAACACCAGAACAAGGTTGATGGGAGCTCCGACCCCGTCGCCTCAGATACACTCCTCCGCAATGCAGACTTCAACAACGACATCTCCTTCCCTTACATCGTCACACATCCCCAGATCCAGTTCCGCACAACGACAATAGCACCCTCCCCGCCCTTGTCCGAGTCCTCCTTTCAGCAACTCGAGCCTCAATCCACATTAACCACCAGACCCGGCCCGAGTCCGCTTGCCACAAACAACAACCTGCGAATCCAGACCGACGACTTGCTCCCGAGCCTGCCTACCCGCTCCGACAACCACCCCGTCTCCGTCTACGCCACGCCTCGCCGACCCAGTGCCGGCCTCACCCACAAGACATCGTCCTCCAGCCTGAAGCCCGTATCGAGAACCCCCAGCTTTAAGGCGGCTGTCCACAGTCTCGGCCCCGCCTCGGCCACGAGCTCCTGCCTGCCCAGCCCGATTCTATCGGCTATGAGCGACGTCACCCCGTTGCCCTCGCCGTTATTATCAGGAGACTCCCCGGGCCCTTGGAAGCGTCTCGGTGCACGACCACCCTCGCGGGATATGCCCAACCCCACCCCAGATTCCGTGCTGGTCTCAGCAACCGGCGAATCAATAGCAGCCGCCCTCGCCAACGCTTCAAAACGCAAGATCTACGCCGGCCTGGTCACAGAAACCACCGATGGATCAGGCGCAAAGGTGACCCTCAACGCCAAGCAGGAGCACGCACGCAACCGCAGCATCAGCGAGTACATCCCCGACCCGAATTACATACCAAAGCGGCACATCACCGTCTCTGGCTCCCACGTCAAGCCCGAAGCCCAGGAGTCCGCCACCGAACCCCATATGCGCCGCGAGCTGAACCTCGCAGAGTCCAGAGGTTTGACCCCCGCCATTGCCCAGCCGCCGACCCCACCGCCGAGCGAGTCTTCAAAGGACTCGAGCGACTCCACCAGCAAGCCGAAAACAGCTATTCCCGAGTACTTCGAGGCCTTCGACCGCCGCGACAACAAGAGGAGGAGATGGAGGGCAGTCAAGACCCTGGGCCAGGGCACCTTCAGCCGTGTTATGCTGGCGACGAGCCAGATGGATGACGACGACGATACGTTACATCCCGACAGCCTCACGCCAATTTCAGAAACGGGACCGGCCAGAAAGACCCTTGTCGCAGTCAAGGTTTGCGAGCATGGCCCTAGAGGTGGAGCAAGCGAGGACCGCATCGAGATGTCTCTCAAGCGCGAGTTGGAGATTATGCAGAGCATCAGCCATCCGTCGCTGGTACATCTCAAGGCGTGGAACATTGAGCCCAGCCGCGCCATTCTCGTCCTCGGCCACTGCCCAGGAGGCGACCTTTTCGATGTCGCTACGGGCCACCGCCAGGTTCTCAAGCCGACGCTGTTGAGGCGGATGTTTGCAGAACTGGTGGGCGCCGTGAGATACCTGCATGAGCGCAGGATCGTCCACAGGGACATCAAGCTCGAGAGTGGGTGACCCAGGTTGTGACAGCAAACCCAAAAACCACACTGACAATTCATAGATGTGCTCGTCAACCTGACTGCACCCGAGCTGGCGGATCCCTCAACGGACTGGTCGACGTACCCGCACTCGGTCATCACCCTGACGGATCTTGGCCTGTCCCGGCGCATCGCCGACGACGAAAAGCTCGAGACCCGCTGCGGGTCGGAGGACTACGCGGCGCCTGAGGTCATCATGGGCTTGCCCTACGACGGCCGTGCGACGGACGCCTGGTCCCTGGGCGTTCTGCTCTATGCCCTTCTCGAAGCCCGCCTGCCGTTCGACCCGTACCCTAACACCATGGACGGCCACCGCATGCGCAGCCGCACGAGCCACCGCATCGCCCGCGCGGAGTGGCGCTGGATCGATTACGCCGGAGAAGACGGCGACCACGAAGGCGACGAGGCCAAGTTCAAGGAGCGCGGCCTCCTAGGGGCCATGGAGATCACCGAAGGCCTGCTCCAGCGCGCCAGGAGTAGATGGACCCTCGAGAAGGTTGCAGAGAACGAGTGGGTACAGGGCGCGATCCAGGTGGAAGGCGGTATTCGTTTCCGCGAAGAGGTCGCCGGCGCAGAGGTATTATGACAGCACTCCGTGGGATTTCATGACGGGAACCAGGTTCGGGATACGGTATCGGTTTGAGATGTACGAGTAGGAGGAACGGTTGGCGGACGGGCGGTGGGCATATCGGGGCATCATACCACATGCCTTTTTCGATGGTGGGCATTGACATCTTTTTCTCTTTCATTATCATGTTCGATGCGAGAACTATTACTCGCCCACGTAGGGTTGGAGCATTCGCTTCCTAGGGACGACAGAGAGAAAGTCCCCCTTCACATATTTTTTTCCAGACATAGATTAAGCCCACGACGAAAAACTTAGACCTGGCCAGCGAAGGTGTTGTTATTGTTTTTGGAGACGGGATTTGTTTCATTTTTTTAGTTGTACAGTTATTGGGGCCGTTGGCTTGCCCGTTATCCTTTTTTCCATCATGATTGTGTGTCTTCCAAGATACGTCAATCATGGTTACTTATGTTTCGAATACCCAAAACAACAACCTTTGACTTCTCGGACTTTTGTCTCCGGACTATTGTGTCACTGAGTCTTGTCCCGTTCTGGCGTCGCGTGTCACAGGTCGGTCATCTTTTTTGGCAAATGCTTTTTGCGTGGCGCCGTCTGTGAGGTGCCGCCGATCCGGTCCGTGCGGCTCATGACGTTGGTCAAGGGACGATTTTGGAGAGGGCCGGATCTGGAAGGAAAAATGGGCAGAAAAGGATCAAGAATGCCGAGTCTGGACTGGGAGTGAGGGAATGGGAAGGAGAAAAGGGAAAGGGGAAGAAGACCACATGGGACAGGACGGGTTCCTGGGTTTAGACCGTTTCTGGCTGGGAGATACACGCGTTACGTGTAAGTGGCCGTTTTCCGTTCTTTGTTCTGCCGGTTTAAGGGAATGCTGTTTCTCTCCGTTTTTCTTGGTCGGGGATGTCCGTGAAAGGAGGGGCCTCTGGGCTGGCTGGAGCTAGGCGTTTGTGGGGTTGGTTCAGTTCGGGTTTCTATATTTGTATTGCGGCGTTGTCTTTTCTCTACGGTGAAAGAGAGCGAGGGTAAAAGGATGACGGAGACAGAGAGAGAGAGAGTGCGTGATGCCCGGCGATGGTCGGGGGATTTGGCCGGTTCGGGGCCCGGGGGGCTCCGGGCCGGCGTGCCGGTGGGATTTGTTTATGCAGGTTTGATGACGGCATGGGGCGGATGGGATGTTCATGGAAGTGAAGACTTTTGATTTTCTTGAATTACGATTAATTGAGGTACATTGCGAGATGCGGATACTCGGCCGTGTCTCGACGTTTCCCGCCCGAGTAAGGACTTTTCCATGCCCTTTAACTCCTAAACCCTCCCTCCCCTTTCTATCCCTAGAACACCCTAGAACACGACGTCGTTCCCGGGCCAGAGGACATCATACGCCGCCCCCTCGTCAAGACTGATGTTCCCGACGACGTGTAGCCCCGTGGGGTCGGCGAAGGCCATGTCGGCTGGGGGCCCGATGAACTGGCCCAGGTCGTCGAGGTCGCGCCACGAGAAGCCGCGGCAGAGGAGCTCTGTCTGGCTCAGGGGCAGCGGGGTCATGCCCATACCGCCGGCGGAGGCGTGGTGCATCCCGGAGGCGTGGTCGTGGCCCAGCAGCATGGACGGATGCGGATCGTGGTAGGAGGGGGAGGGGTTGGTGTGCTCTGTGGAGGGGAGGATGGATGTTGCTGTATGGTGGTGGGAGGGCGCGGTGTGTGAGGAGGAGGGGTGGTGGCCTGGACGCGAGGAGGAGGAGGCGGTGGGTGTTGTTTGGGATGGGTGGTTGCCGGCGGCGGCGGCGGCGGTGGAGGTTGTTGCTTTGGGGGATGTGGAGGAGGAGGCTGATTTGGAGCGCCAGAGGAGGGAGAGGAGGGAGGCGTAGCGGTGGCCGAGGGAGTGGGGGGAGATGGAGGATCGTTGGAGGCAGGTTATTGTCACGGAGATGGAGCGGCGGACGGAGTCGGATGCTTCTGCGCCGAGGGCACCTGCAAGGCGGGCCTGGTGAAGTATGTCAGTGATGGATGTATCTTGAGAAGGGGGGAGAAGAAGGGGACAGACTTTGAAGAGGAAGACAGCCGCGTAGATGACGTAGAGGTAGTACTTCAGCGGCATGTATCTCAGCCCCGTGACGGGGTCGACGGAGGTGTTGAGGATGTTGAGGAGGGAGTTTGCGGCGTCCATGGACTCGTAGATGAAGCGGGCGTCGGGGGTGCTTGCGAGGTCGCCGAAGAGGGGGGTGTTTATCGCCGTTGTCGTACGTGCGGTCGTTGCGCTGGTGGGCTGCGGTTGTGGTGGTGGCTGCTGTTGAGGAGGTTGTTGCTGCTGAGGCTGTGATGATGATGCTGTTGCTGTTGCTGTCTGGGACTGTTGCTGCAGTTGTTGCTGTTGCTGGCGGGCGCGGGTGATGGCGCGGTTGATTGTGGCCTGGAAGGCGAAGGCGTTGATGTAGAGGCGGAGGAACTCGTACGAGAGGTTGAGGGCGGCTTTGATCAGAGGCGTGACTGGGAGGTTCCTGTTAGTGTGAAGTTCATCGAATGGAGATGTGGGGTGGGGGGTTACAGCTTAGACTTCCCCAGACGAGTTTCCACTTTCTGAGGACCGCGAAGGAATCATCCTGGGCGTTTGTCAGTCAGAATAAGTCAAGAACGAAAGCGAGAAGCATACGATATAGCGGACATATTCGCCGCCGAGGTACAGCTGCGCCCGGTGGCCCGCGGACGAGTACAGGATGTCGTGGGCGTTGCTGAAGAGCTGGATGAGCTCGAGCTGGGCCTGGAAGAGCTGGCCGAGGTTATCCGGCCCGGCCTGCTGGACGCGCAGCGAGGGAAAGTCGGCGGAGCGGGGGATCGTCGACGGGCCCGGGCCGCGGGACCAGAAGCCCTTGCCGACGCGGATGGACACCTCGCGGTCGCTCATGTAGCAGGCTGCATGTGTCAGTTATCTCAGGGAAAATGGGGGCAATGAGACAGGGTGCGAACATACCAGCCCAGACAAGTCGTTTTCTGCGGAACTGCTCCGACAGGGCGCTCTGCTTGTCGACCAGCAGGCCCGTCTGCTCGAGGCTCTGGAGGTAGCCGAGGCGGATGGCGACGCCGATCTGCATCCATGCGCCCTCGTCCTCCTCGCCGCGGCCGACGGTGGGTTTCTCCTGCAGGCGCTGGGGCGCCCACTGGGCGAGGATGAGGAGGGCCTCGACGGCGCCGACGGTCGTGGAGCCCTTGTAGATGAGCTTGGAGATGAGCGTCTCCATGTGCCGCGAGCAGGCCTCGTGGACGGCCGAGAGGGAGGGCTCGTCCTTGGAGACAACGGTGAAGATGGCCGTGACGAGGTGCGGCTCCGAGTCGGTGAGGAAGGGGATCGAGGGGGGCGAGAGGATGCAGTTGTGGGCTACGGGGAAGAAGGGGTGGTAGTGTTCGTAGTACGTTGCGAGCAGGCGGGAGGCGACGGACAGAGAGAGGACGCCGTCTGAGATGGGAGGGTAATGGTACGTCGCGAGCGTCTTCGAGGAGGGGTGGTCGCGGGGGGTTCCGTCTTCGTGCGTGGTGCTTCCGCTCGGCTTGCGGTTCCTCTCCGTCCCGCCGTCGCCGTCCAGATCGGCTACCTGCGCCAACAGGTTCAACGCGTCGGACGGGTTCAAGAGGTCGCTCGACGTGATGTGTCCCTCGATATCCCCCGCGCTCTGGAGGGATCGCCCGCCGGGGCTGTTTGGCTGGGACCCGGAGCCGGGCCAGCTTGCGGCGCGGCCCGGGGTTTCTGCTTCCGGGGAGCAGGACCATGGACGATTTGTCTCGGAGGACTTCTGGTCGGCACCTGGTGGTTGCTCGCTTGAGGCGGCGCCCTCTGCGGGGACGGAGTCGAAGGTGGATGTGGTCCCCGGGGGAAACGGGGCCGCACCGGTGGAGTCCGAGCCCGGGAGGCGGACGCATTTGCGGGGACGCCGGCCGCCGCGGCGGGACGTTGCCAAGACGCACTCCTTCTGCTCGCGGACGCAGCGGCGGCAGGGCGGGATTCCCGGGTTCCCGCCGTAGTCTCTGTTGATGGTCAGCGGCCTTTGATCGATGACATGGGTCGGCTCGACGGCACTGCGGGATATGACTGGAATACGCGGCACGGGCGGGGGCGGGGACTTGGGGGGCTGGGGGCTGGGGGTTACGCCGCGGCTATGCATGAAGCAGAACGGGGGCGGTCGGTCGGGTGACTTACAGGTCGCATCGTGTCTTCCTAAGCCGACAGGACACGCAGGCCCGCGATACCCGTCTCTCTTTTCCATTTGCCGTGGTGCGAGAGACTCGGTGTTGCGAGGATTGGCCGACGAGAGCCGGCGATGGTCGTGGGCCGGCTTCAACAGACATATCGGATTTGGGGGAACGGGACAGGCGGGATACTATCTCGGCCCGAGCTTCTCTCTCTCTTGTGAAAGCAAAGGGGGACCAACAGGTGACACCGGGCTAAGACGCGGAGCAATCCGACCGATGCCAAGGCGAGACAAGCACCGACGTGCAGTGCTTGGGTGCGGATCTACTTCAGCGTTACCGTTCTTTCTTTTGCGGGATTGGGGAGTGGAGAATGAAAGGGGGGCAATGGACGGCGACCGCAGATGGAGGAGAGAGGTAAAGGGGAGTGGAATTGGGCGACGCGGAATACGAAGGAGCGTCGGCAATCCAGAGGGACATAGTACAGGGGCGGCAATGTGGCTCTTTGTATCGGCGATAGTTGGGGTTTTAAATGTCTAGTTTCCTTCTCACAGTAGTCCTGCCGTACAGACACATGCCGCCGCCGCCCAAAAGACTGTCTGATAGTCTTTCTTGGTTAGTTGGTTGGGCGAGACCACGGGGAGGTCATGACGCAGTTGAGAGACGGGCAAGGTTTATGAAGGTTTGCGTGGGAGTACTTGAACCACCGTCCATCCTTGCTTTGCTGCCCACCCTGCCGAGAGCTTGAACCCTTCCCCTCCCTTTTCTGCCTCCCCCGACACTGAAGACTGGGGACAGATCGTAAGCATTACCGATCGAGAGCTAGCTCTTCGTGGGCAGCAGAATCGCGAGCGGGAGGTTACTGAGATGGCGCAACCCTGCAGGCAAGGTTCGGTGATTGCCAGCACGTATGTTGACAGCTGCCGTTCATTGGACGGGATCTTGGAAAGATAGATGGATGGAGAAAGACTGTTTTTCTTTTGAATCTTTTTTTTATTCATGTTTGCCTTATGCCGGCTCTTGATTCAATTCAATCGGCTGCCGGCAATTATTTCAAACCTCCCGTGAGGAGGATTTCCTGCCCGGTTAGATATCCCGTTTTGGCGAACCTGCATCGGGGTTTTAGTCGAGATCCTCGGGCATCTGGCCGCGGCGCATGGAGATGACTTACATCGTGACGACGTTGGCTACTTCTTCGGGTGCACCCAGACGGTGGACTGGGACGCTTGCAGCGATCGCGAGGCCGGGGTCGGTGGCTCTCAGAGCCTCGAGGTCGTCTCTGCTGTCCCAGGTTCTGCTTCATGTCAGTTGCCGAGATTGGGGCTGAGGGAGGAAGAAGGAGGAGGACTTGCGTTGATTTGGGGGTTGCGATCATGCCTGTTGCGCCGATCATCGCGGGGAGAACCTGTTGCAGGATGAGTTGAGTTGTTCCCTCCGACGAAAACTGTGTGGCGTCCGGACTTACAATGTTGACTGTGACTCCCTCTGGCGCCAAGAGCGTTGCCAAGTTGAGCCCCATGGAGCTGTGTCTGTGTCAGTTCACGCCTTACAAAGTCCGAACCCGAGTGCCTTTATCAACGACAACTCAGGCTTATGAGATCACTCAACTCACCAGAGCGCACCCTTGGTCGCAGCATAATGACACCCGTTGATACCGCCTCCGCGGCTCGCAATGCTTCCGACCAGCACAACACGCCCCCAGCCCTGAGCCCTCATCCCCGGCAGACACGCCTTCGTCACGACAAACTGGCTGCGCGCGTTGACCTCCATCATCTCATCCCAGTCATCCTCGCCAATGTCGGCGGGATCACGGATACGGCGCCCGAGTCCGGCGTTGGCGACGAGGATCGAAATGGCCTTGTGCTTCTGCGTGACCTCGCTACTGGCGAAGATGGTGGGCACCAGGTTGCGCGTCGACTCCCGCGATGAGAGGTCCGCCTGGAAGGGCACGAAGAGTTGTGAAGGGTACTTTGCGCGCAGTTCCTGGGCGATTGCCTCGGCTTTACCCTGCGTGAGAGAAAGAGGTGTTGGTTATTTGTGTGCAACTTGGGAGTTGTGAAGTGAAGGGAGGGGGTCCGTGTTGTGGGTTGCGAATTACTTGACTTGAGGAGTAGTGCAGCGCAACATCGCACCCTTCTGCCGCGAGGGCGTGTGCAACTGATGACCCGATACCACCACTGGAACATGAGTTAGCCATGGGTGGTATCGTGTTTTGAGGAGTGAATCAGAATCACCTTGCTCCCGTCACCAAGGCCAGGCGACCTTGTGTGCGGTTGTCCGTGTTCTGAATTGTATGCTGAACCATTTTGGAAATCTATCAAACCCCTTGTCTAGAGCTCTTGTTCGTATGCAAGTCGTCGAAAGGAGCACGGGCTATCGTCTTAAAGGGTAGTTAGTCGACTTGCTGCTGTAGTCTACCAAAGCCAGGGTATCTTCACTTGCCGTCTGTTTATGTGAGATGGTCTTCAATGTTGAACATGAGAGTAACGGCTAATGAGGGGTTGGAGAGCCAGCGCGGGACAAACACCGAGGGCCGAATTGCCGACGGTGCAATTGCCGCCGCTATCGGGGTGGATTTTGATGGAGTACCTCACCTGCAGGAGCTTGAGTCGTCATGCCATAATTACCGGTTGGTTCGCAAAAGTCATAGCTGCACGCGACAGCTTTCAAACTTGCCCGATTATATCAAAATGAGCGATGAAGAGCCTTGTCTGGCGCCATTGCGGGCGCCTTCGCGACAATCGTCGGTGTTTGTGGGCTCATTGCCCCCATGGGGACGCAGCACTCGTCTCCTGACCTCGCAGACCTTGGAGCTGCAATCAATTGCGGAGGGTCAAAACATGTCACGATGGCTGCATCACCGCGACTGATGTGGGAAGCCAATCAAAACCACTGACTCAATTGCCGCAGCCTCTTGTCCTCTTTCAGACTTTCAGTAGCCGAGCCCTGGCAGAAGACGTCCCTCTGTCGGTTATTGCCGCGTCGGGCTCGCCGTCTGATGGTTTGGATAACCTAGTAATTCAATTGCCAGCAGTAACGCGTTTCAATCTATGCCGTCCCCGACTCCCCAGGCCAGCTCACTCACCCCAGACCCCGCAGATATGCTTTGTTGGTGCTGCGAGTGGATTCCCGGGGAAGTGGTTCTGCCGCCTGGCTCGTCGATCCAAGACGATGGCTCTCGGTGCAACAAAATCTGGCATCACTGCTGCGCGTCACCATCTTTGTCCATCCGCACACTCACACCTTGCACATATAAGCGTTCGGCTCCAGGCGTTCGGACGATCATTTTCGGCAGGTGCCAGAAGCAATAGACATCTGCTCCCCGGAACTGTGAGCGGCCTGCTGGACAACACTGAATCGTGAAGGCTTCATCGACACAGACGACTACGACGACGACGACAATATGGGAGAACTTCGTGGACAGGCGCTGGTTTTGACCGTGAGCGTGTTGACCTCATTGGGTTTCATGCTCATCGGTTATGACAATGGACTCATGGGAGGACTGGGTGAGAATTGCTACCCTCTGTCTTGTTGAAAGATGTCTTTGCTGACTTGTGTTGTGTCTAGTAACGGCTCCGGCCTTCAACAAAACGTTTGACTCTCCTGACCCGACGATGACTGGCCTCATCGTAGCCATCTACGAAAGTATGACGCTCTCCGTGGCTCCTCCAGATCATCGCACTAACTGCTGCAATAGTTGGTTGCTTCCTCGGTTGTGTCGCCACCGCTTTCTTCGGCGAGAAATTCGGTCGTCGCAGGACGATCGGAGCAGGTGCCGCTGTCATGGTCGTCGGTGCCATCGTCCAAGCCGCATCTTTCGGCCGCACTCAGATGATTGTCGGAAGAATCGTATCTGGCATCGGCATGGGTATCGTCAACTCGACCGTCCCAGTTTTGCAAGCCGAGTTCAGTCCCAAGTCCAGCCGTGGAATTTGTAAGTTTTCAAATCCTCATCGCCACCGACCACTCTAACGTAAATTTGCGCAGACGTCTGCGCTCAGCTGTCAACACTCAACTTCGGCATCTTCCTCATCTACTGGATCGACTACGCCTTCTCCTCTCACATCGAGAGTTACGCCTGGAGAGTTCCCGTTGCTCTACAATGCGTCTGCATTCTTCCCATGTTCGCGATTCTCAGGATCATCCCCGAGACACCCCGCTGGTTGGCCTCCCACGATCGCCCGGATGAGTGCCTCGCTGTTTTGAGACGGCTCAAGTGGGACGAAGACGAAGAGTCGATCAGGGTGCTTCACAACTCGATCATGCAGACGGTGGCGTACGAGCAGTCCGTGAGCGCTGGGTCGTGGAAGGACCTGTTCGTGAACGATCGCATCAAGAGCCAGAGGAGGTTCTTGATTGCTTGCGCTATCCAAGGGTTCCAGCAGCTTGGCGGAATCAACGCAATTATCTGTGTGTGTCCTGGGTTTGGGGAGTGATCATTGCTAATATTCGGTGGTTAGACTACAGCAGTACTCTCTTCGAGAAGAGCATTGGATTTGATAACCACATGTCGAGTCTCATGTCTGGATTCCTGCAGACTTGGTTCTTTGTGGCCTCGTTCATTCCCTGGCTGCTGATTGACAGGATTGGCAGAAGGCCACTGGCATGTGATCACTAAAGACTCTGATGTTGCCCATGAACTAACAAAGTCTACAGTTATTGTCCATGATCAGCGTGATGGCTGCGGTGATGGCAGTACAAGCTGGCCTCATCTACCAGGTTCAGAACGCCACAGCCATTGCGAAGTCGGCAGGCATTGGTGCAGCCGCAATGCTTTTTGTGTTCCAGGGAGCTTTCACCATTGGATTCCAGGCAACCGTCTGGGTTTACCCGTGAGTAGTGATGTGTTAATTTGAAAAGAAAACCTAGCTGACATCTCTTAGATCCGAAATTCTGCCTCTTCGGATTCGCCAACTTGGCTCTTCGGTTTCAAGTGGTGTCAACTGGATCTTCAATTACGTGAGTTGCGGATCTTGTTCTAAAACTAAGCGCAAACCACTAACAAAAACTAGATGGTCGTCCAAATCACCCCAATTGCGATCTCCAATATTGGTTGGAGAACCTACATCATTTTTGCTGTTCTTAACGCCACTTGGGTACCAATTATCTATCTGTTCTTCCCAGAAACCAAGGGCTTGGAGCTTGAAGATGTAGACCGTCTCTTCTCAGGAGATAGCTTCGTCGACTTGAACCGTCACGACACCAGCGAGAAGCAGGAAGTGTGGGATGTCGAGGAGGTTAGGGCATGAGTAGCCATCGAGACAGATTGAACAAGCACGAGTCATGTATTCAAAGCCAGATTGCTGCACGAAAGAAAGAGATAGCGTTCGTAGAGTTTGGCAGCCGTTCAAAAAGATCTATCCCTTCGTTTCACCTCGGTAGATGCACATCGCACAGATGACTGCGTGATCGATCAGCTTAGACTTTGCATACGTTTCGGCGCTCAACAGCAGCAAAAGCTCGAGTCATCCCACACTAACAAAAGCCCCTGCTTCTGAGCCATTTCTTTGCTGGCCCGGACCCATAAAGTGTAAACCTGTGACATCGACAGCTGAGGAGGTGCATGCCCCGCATTAGCTCCAACCCGGGGCAACGTGCCTTGATATCCGAGCTCCCCTCATTCCTCTTGTCCGGCAGGTCTAGTTTCCCTTGGTTCGTCCATTCGTTGCGTCCTCAATCCTTGGCATACTTTTCCATAGTCTCTTCGGGCTTACTATTCGATTGGACAATTAAGCTATCTTGAACCATGACGAACGTATCCGCTTTTGCCGTCTACGACGACTCCGTGAAGAAGCTGTTCGGCGCGGACCCGACGCTGGAGCTCCTGCACGAGAACCAGGACTACCCCTTCGCGCACGAGGCGGGCGTCTTCATCGAGCGCGACAACACGCTCTTCATCACGAGCAACCAGTTCCCCGACGACAAGGGCGGCAAGAAGATCCAGGTATGTCGCGTCACGCTGCCCGCGGACTTCGCGGCCGCCAAGGTCAAGTGCGAGGAGATTGCGCCTGAGGGCGTGTACATGGCCAACGGCGGCGTGAACTACCTCGACGGCGTCATCTTCTGCTCGCAGGGGTCGCTGGACTCGCCGGGCGGGATCGTCTTCATGGAGGCGCAGCCACCGTATCAGACGCGGGTGCTGGTGAGCTCGTTCCACGGCCGGGAGTTCAACTCTGTCAACGATGTGGTGGTGCACAGCGATGGGTCCATCTGGTTCACCGACCCGATCTATGGGTATGAGCAGGGGATCAGGCCGCGGCCGAAGTTGCCGAACCAGGTGTACAGGTTTGACCCGATCAGGGGGTCGATCAGGGCTATGGCAGATGGGTTCGGGAGACCGAATGGAATTTGCTTCAGTCCTGATGAGAAGACGGTGTATGTGACGGACACGGATTGGATTCATGGAGATGGAACCACGGATCTCACGAGACCTTCGACGATGTGAGTGGAATCAAACAATTTGAGAGAATGTTGCTGATTGTTGGAACAGCTACGCTTTTGACCTCGTGTCATACTCTGGACAGCCATTCCTAGCCAACAGACGTTTATTCGCCATGGCTGACACTGGCATCCCGGATGGCATCAAGTGCGATGTTCACGGAAATGTGTACAGCGGGTGCGGTGATGGTATCAACATCTGGTCGGCAGGGGGGGTTCTGCTGGGCAAGATTCTCATTCAGGGGGGCGCTGCCAACTTCTGCTTCGGTCGCAACGGAGAGCTTTTCATTCTCAATGAGAACAGACTGTGGAGGGCGAAATTGGCTGACGAGACCAAAGGAGCTCTGTTATGTATTTAATGAGTTGATGTGAGACATTGACCTTGGCTGATAGGTAGAGAATCTGAAGAACAAGGTCTCGCAGGAAGTCCACCGGATCGCAGTTACTTCTCGAGGCGCATAAATCAGGCGTTCCGATGTGTCATCGTTGGGCTTATGCGCAACCCGAAGGGTAGTTTCTACTGTTGACCTCGGGTTCTCAGCTGCGGGTAATCATTTCCCAAACTATTCCCTCGATTAATTTTACAGGACATGATAAATGACTGTTGTAAGATTATGCACATGAAGACGAATGAGACGCCGTGAGGTCTGCACTGCTGACTATGGCTACCGACCAGATATGTAGTGTAACCATGTCGGTGTGTGTTGGCGGCTATCGAGCCTGGTGAGCTCAAGGTATTTCAATCCTGCTATTCGTCCATCTAGCCTTGCATCTTGGGCACAAACTTACCAGAAAGTCGCAGAAAGTTCTCCTGTATATTGGATCGTTTGCATTCCGAATGGATAATCGCGAATCTCGACCTGATGCAGTCCAGCTCACGACGGTTGCACCGCCCGCAGCACCCTCGCTCGACGGAAATGATACGCACAATTCCCGGTGTTCTACTCCGGAAGCTCACGCACAGGCTGCTACAACATGCTTTGCACAGGGAAATCTCTCTCGAGAAGCTCTTGTAGCTCCCGGGCATTCTGCCAACCTGGGGAACGGATACGCCGACACGAGTACTGGGCATGAAAAGCCGAACTGGTTCGAGCAGCTGCTGTTGACCCGCGACTTGTGGAGCCAGACTTGGAACATCTACCTCTTCTGGGTTGCCGGAGTGGCCTTTGCTATTGGGCATCACGCCTACTATGCTTCTCTCGAAGACAAGATTGTTCACGGCGACGACCAGTTACTCAAGCTCCGTTACGGTACCATTTTGGCTTTCGCAGCCAAGGCCAGCTTCGGAGCTTCAGTGTTGACGGCCTTTCGACAGCAAGTATGGGCAACAGTCAGATCAAAGCTATCAGCCATTGCTACGCTAGACGATATTTTTGCCGCGCACGAAACACCACTCTCTCTACTCAACTTGGAATTCCTCGCCCGCGCAAAGCTAGCGGCAAGCTTAGCATTATTTGGTTGGTGAGTATCATGGCACTAGAATTCACCGATCAGCTTCCTGAGACGCAACAGGCTTTCGCCACTCATCGTTATCCTGACAACAAACACGCTTCTAGTGAAGCCAACGCAGGAAGTTCAACAGACGAGGTGTTCCGGGGTCCGAACTCTGAACTTTTCTCATGAAGGAGAAAATGATTGGCGACACACGCCGAAGATCAAGGGTCTACGGGAAATCTCCTTGAGCGAGTGGAATGTCACAAGAGAAAACACATCTGACCCTTACTTCTTCGACTACTGGGCCATGAGGAGCGTTTGGGGTGACCAAATGTTTTCGGCGACAACCGCATTGCAGCGCCCATACAACAATTTGGACGACACCTTCGTTGTCTGTGAGAAGGGCTGTAACTGCACTGTCGAGATCAAGTTTGTTGCTCCTGCTTACAAGTGCCAAGAGCAGGCCAGAGGCGTTGGCGCCCAAATTCGCAGCCTTCAACAGGAATCAGGAGAGGCTCACTCACCGATTGACTTCAACTTGCTTGCACCAATTGGAAGTTACACATACATCAGCAATGCAGGGCTTGGACACTACTCCAATACGCAGTTGAAGGCAGTTAATTTTGGTGGAATACCCTTGATGAATCCGCCGTTCCCCGAAAATCTTGGCGCATTTAGAACCGACCCTGTGGTCTGGGTTGGATACTCAGAAATCGTGGATTCGTCAGTTCCGCCGTTTCTGCAAGAAAATCAAGCATTTCCATTCAATCGAAAGGCATGGGAGCCGGTGTTAGTTGCATGCGAGCACTACGAAGCCGATTATACCGTTGAACTCAGATACATAGATCGGATGCAACCTCGTCGCATCAAGGAACGCAAGCTCTTATCTCCCACTATCAACACAACTTTTATGGAAGGTGCCACTGCGAATGACGGAACCGACGACGACACTTTGGCAGTACCAGAGAGCAATTATATCTTCCCAACTGATGTGAAGAGATACAAACGAACTGCTGCGAATTATGCAATGGGAAGTGCCTTCCGCGAGAGAGTTGATGGCGCTATTCAAGTGGATGACACTGGACAAAGACCCAATTTCGGATACCTTGAGCAGCCAGCAATGTTTGCTAATACATCGGCAGGACGAACGATGCTGATGAATCCGGCAAACTCTTTCCCCCATCCAAATTTAGTAAAAAGACTTCAGGAATATTACGAAACGTTCCTTTTATCATTCTTTGGAAATCCGAGATTCCTGGTGGTGGCATGGGCTGCAGATCCAAGCGTAAAAACCGGTAACAGCTCGGGAGTTGAATACTTATACCCTTGCACACGCTCGCGCCCTGGAATCAAGTACTACCATCGAGCTCGAATACTCGTTCTTGTATACGGAATAGCCGCCTGGCTGGCAATCTTAGGGGTCGTTGCCGGAACACTCGCAGCGCGGGAAAATGGCGGTGTTTCGAGAAACACTCGATTTTCTAGCGTTTTAGCCGCTACGAGAAACGCGTCTTTCGCTGACATGGAATGGGATGGGCGGCAAAGAGATCGCGCGTACATATCAAAAGACCTGATACGGCAGAAGCTTGGTTATGGGATCTTGAAAAGCGGCGAAGGAAATTGTTCTGGCTCACGCAGACCGGAAGTGGCGGAGCCGCAGTATGGATTTGGTTTCCCAGGAGAAGTGGATCAGACACCAGCTATGAGATCACGACGAACGTTTGTCACAGATGAAGCAGATAGCTAGATAGTGAGTGTTAGGATGCGGCAATTTGTTATTCATTGAACCATCTCGTCATAGGCTTCTAACTTCATTCTTGATCATTTTCGTCCGTCTCCGTCGTCTGTCGTTGCCCTTTGTCTTCCTTCGTCGTCCTTCCCCATCGCCCGTCTCCAAAACCATCTGTCAGCGAATTCTGGTCTGCTGGCGCCAGGAGTACTGCTCTGCGATAGATTCCGGCAGTCTGACGCGGCCACGGGGGTGTATCTTCATTCCATGCTCATCTCTCATCTGGGGCCACGTGATACCCTGGCCGCCTGAGGTGTTGATCTGGTAGACGGAGTTGATGCGGTAGGCGAAGTCGTAGCCATTCCAGTCCGGATGTCTGTCATTGAATTCTTTGTTGCCCAGGCCATTCTCGGGGATGGGCTGGTCGCCGGGGTTACGAGTTACGGCGGGAGAGACCTCGCAGACGTGGGTGATGGCGGAGTGAGGGGCGGTTCTGTAGAACCAGATTCTCTTGATGCCTTCCATATTGTACTTACGGAACTCGTAAGTCTTGGTGCCGTCGATGATTTGCTGCATGTAGGGGTCTTGCATAGCAAGTATCATGTCTGTGTTTGGCGTCGCCATCTTTCGTCGTCGTCAAGGTTGGTCTCTGGGTCTGGTTTGGGTTGGATTGTAGTCTGCAAGAGGTAGAAGGAGCTACAGAGAGAAAATTGTGGTACATACTCCTTCCTCGCTTGAAAGGTGATTCAGCGATCCCTTGAATGCTGGAGAGATCGGATCAAAACAGCATCTAGGGCCGTCCACTAACTGGAGTGATTCATCCTCATCAGCAACCTACGCAAAAATCATTTGCATGGTGTGCCACCTTTTTGAGTGATTTAGCTATACCTTGAAAAGTTACGGTCATTAAGTGGGAGCCTCCATGTTGAAGCTATCCCCGAATACTCTGCCCAAGCTTTCTGCAACCTACTAAATTGAGATGAACTTGCATATTCGCAACAAACCGAGTCTCCACTGAACCGGCACCTCAAGCCTATTTTTCAATTTGATCGTCTAATATCTACATTTACTGTCTCACGTCAGCTGGCCTTGACGTTTGATTTAATGAAGCGCATGTGTGATTAGATAATCGCCACCCAGCAACCAACGTCATCAGTCGGGCGGTACAAAGACGCCGCTTTCTCCGATCACAACCCCGCACCCCCATCTGCTCTTGGTGTTCATTCTTCCATGGACCACCTCAATCATATTGCCTGACCAATCAATTCTACTGAATCACAATATGGCGCCCCGAACCCGTGAAGAGTTACTTGCATACGGCGTCCCTGATCCGGACTTTGAGGCTGTAAGCTGCTGCCTTGCATGACCTGTACGGTGCTGACCATACATGATCAGGAGCTTGCGGCACGTCCGGTACGCGGACCACAGCCAAGTGATCCGTACTATGGTCGAGCCGACTTCTTCGCATTGCGAGAACACAGAGCCACGCATCTGCGCGAGAAGCACCATTTGCGCTACCTCCCTGGCCCCATCCCAGAACAGGTGCGTGAGGAGGATCGCAAGATCAAGGTCAGAGACGGCCACGAGATTACGATTCGCATCTACACGCCGGTGAAGGCTTCCGCAGAAGGAAGCCCTCTCATTGTCATGTACCATGAGGGAGGGTGGTCTCAGGGTGACTTGACGGATGAGGAGGTTAACTGCCGTCTGTTCAGTCGTGACCTTGGGGCCGTCTGTGTCAACGTTGAATACAGGTAAGCTCTTTGATAAGTTGGGAACGACCAATGACTGAACAAACTTGAGACTTGCACCCGAATTTATGTTTCCAACGGGCATCAATGATTCCTGGGATGCGCTCCAGTGGGTTAGTCAAACCACACCCCTCGTTTCCTTTGCCGCCCATTGACATATTGGGAATCCAGTGCGCGAGAAACGCATCAGAACTCGGGGCAGATCCTTCTCGTGGTTTCATCATCGGTGGAGGCTCCGCTGGCGGCAACATCGCAGCTGTTCTCGCCCATCTGGCTCGCGACAACAAGCTTTCGCCACCCGTGACTGGCCAATACCTTTGCGTCCCAGCAATTATGTGCTTCTTACCCCCCGAGGACGTTCCGGATAAGTATCGCGCCGAGTATCTGAGTCACCCTGCCGTGACACCGAGCAAAGACCCCATCATTGGCGATGCTAAAGACGCGGCTGCCGGCCTCCAACTTGTGCTCAAGCCAGACATGGAGAGTCCCCTCTTCGTGCCTTTTCACAATGGGAAGATCGGAGAAGGCCACAAGGGTTTGCCGCCTGCATATTTCCAGGTTGCCGGCCTGGACCCCTTGAGAGACGAAGGCCTCATTTATGAGCGGGTGCTGAGGGAAGAGGCTGGTGTGAAGACCAAGTTGGACATCTATACTGGTGTTCCGCACTATTTTTGGACGAATTTTCCGCACCTTGAGAAGAGTAAACAATTTGTCGAGGACACGGTCAAGGGCGTGAAGTGGCTGTTGGAACAGAAATAGATTCGAAGAACTATTGTTACCTTAGCTTGTCTTCATCATTTTGTCGTCCATGATTGTATGCGCGGGCTTTGGTCTACATGGATAAGGTGATAAAGCCCAGTCAAAATACACGGTTTGTCAGCAGTTGTCGTGAGCTTTCTCATGGATCGCAACATTCAGACTCGTTCTCGGTTTCGTCCCAGAGTGGTGCGTCAAAAGCACTGACAGGGGTTCAGTCATGGGTCTGTTGCCTCGTATCTTGAATGGAATACGGATGAGAGTCGCCTGATTAAGCTTGATGTCAAGCTATGCATAATGGCAGTCTCGGCAGTGGCCGATTACGCAGGAACCATGAGGCTTGGCGGGGGAGCGCTTTGGAAGAATGGGGAAGGTGGTTCAATGCCAGGGTTCCATCGCGACCCATGCCTCATTTCGGGGCGAGGTCTTGGCTGCCGGGAAGGCTCTCATCTTGGTCGCGATACGAGGTCTTTCAGAGCATTGCTTGAAATGCTTATCAAACTTCTAAGTGACAGGCTCGAGTATCAAGCTGCGGAGTTGATCGGCGACCGGTCTTTGTAGTCAATTAACGAGGAACAAGCCTGACGAAGCCGTTCCCGCCGGTGAGAGGAGCCGGCCGGGGGTCGGATCTACCCGCCACAGGCGGCATCACGAGCTTCCTGAATAGGACATCGTCCCCGTGTCACGCCATGCAGGCATTCTCTCCTGTCCGATTCAAGATCAGGAGTCTCCGCGACGATGCATGGGTTGACAGCGACAGTTAAAAACCCGCCCGAGGACCGTCCCATGAGGATGAATGTCATCGTCATCGACGCAGTACCACCCCCCGACCGATCACCATGAAGGCAACCCTGGTCTCTCTCCTCAGCGCCATCGTGCCCGCTTTGGCGGCGCCGAGCGGCATCAACCGCCGTGCCGACCCGGGCCTCATGGCCGGCAAGTACATCATCCAGCTCAAGCCCGGCACCAGCCCCGAGGCTGTCACGGCGCACCACAACGCCGTGCGAAGCCTGCTGCGCCGCCGCGACGGTGCCGCCGGCGAGGTCGAGAAGACGTTCCAGATTGGCGACTTCAACGCGTACAGCGGCTCCTTTGACGACGCGACTCTGGCTACGATCTCGGAGCTCGACGAGGTTCTGGTCGTCGAGCCTGACACGCTCATCTACCTTGAGCCGACCGAGACCCCCGCGACCTCGAAGCGCGACCTGACCACGCAGACGAGCAGCATCTGGAGTCTGGGCGACCTGTCCCACCTGGAGGCTGGTGCGACGGAGTACGTCTACGACGAGAGTGCTGGCGAGGGCACGACGGCCTACGTCTTCGACACCGGCATCCGCTTGTCGCACGAGGAGTTTGAGGGACGCGCCCGCTTCGGCATCAACGGCGTGACTGGCTCCACGGAGCAGACCGGCACGAACTCGGACACGAGTGGCCACGGCACCCACGTGGCTGGTACGATTGTCGGAAAGACATATGGTGTTGCCAAGAAGGCCACCGTTGTCGACGTCAAGGTCTTCGATGGCGATACGGTATGTCAAAACGATTCAAATCACCCGCGACTGTTCACTAACATTCTTCAGGGTTCCACGTCCTGGATACTTGCCGGCATGACCTGGGCCATCGACGAGATCGTCAGCAAGGGTGCCCAAAACTCCTCCGTCCTCAACCTCTCACTCAGCAGCGTCGGCGGCACCACCGCTCTCGACAACGCCGTCCTCGCGGCCTACCAGCAGGGTGTCCTCGCCGTCGTCGCAGCCGGTAACAGCAACCAGCCGACGACCGATGTCTCCCCGGCGAGGCTCCCCCAGTCCTTCACCGTCGGCATGACCCAGCCCGACCGCGGCCGCGTCAACATCATCGAGGACATCTACGGCAGCAACTACGGCCCGGAGCTGGACGTCTTCGCGCCCGGTCGGGACATCATCAGCGCCGCCCACACCTCTGACACCGGCACGGCCACGAAGACGGGCACCAGCATGGCGGCGCCGCTCGTTGCGGGGTTGGTGTGCTACCTCAGGGGCCTGGAGTCGGGCTTGGGAACCCCGGACGCGGTCACGAACCGGATCCTGGAGCTGGCGATCCCCGATGTCGTTGGAGACCCCAAGGGATCTCCCAATTTGTTGGTGAACAACGGCAGCGGCCGCTAAGATGGGACGATCAGCTTTGCGAAGGGAGGAGAAAAACTGGATTGTGTAAGACTTTGTACTGACCGCTGAATCTTGTTGTGCTATGTAATAGACGAATGAGAATGATTATGGCATCGCCCAGACGCAGTGACATGTGTTTTAAGGTTTGTTGACGTCACTTTGCTCCATTGCATAGACACGATCGACATATGAGGTGTCGGCTGTACCCCGTGAGCTGTTCGCACCAATCTAAATGCTGTTGAGATCTGTTGGATAAGACGACAGCGGCACCATGGATGGACTGGATGAAGGGGCTATTACTGTGCAAGGAGCTGCTAATTGAATGGCTTACTTAGACCCAGATCTCCCCGGAGAGCAAGCGGAACTAGCATCGACGGGAGTGTCAAATTTGTCATTCAAGGGCGACACATTTCCCCAATTCTTGAGACCATGTTCGAAAAAAGAAACCATGCTTATGGTGGGCCAAAGGTTTGCCCCCTCGTCAACACATATCCAGCCTAGTACATGTGAACCGTGGCTCCATGTTTCTTCCCTTCCCCCTCACAAGCCTTTTTTTTTTTTTTTTTTTTTTTTTTTTTTTTTTTTTTTTTTTTGAAATAAAGGATCAAAGGCTCGCTACCCGTGAATTCCGGTGGCACCATCGCTCCGCCAAAGTTCTACCAAGTGAGTTACTGACACCATCCCATTGGATCGCGAGCGCCAGACGCTGCGCGCTAGTCCAAGGGGCTTCGGTAGTGCTACTACTTAGGGTCTTTTGGCCCACAACATGCGTCGTTGAAGTTCTTTGCCTTGGATGACTGTCTCGATCAACCACCTCAGCTGGACCGCAAACATAGACACGTCTAAGAAAACGACAGGCAACGATGCTTCTGTGCACACCGGCCACCGGACGGGCATTCACCACATCGTACCAGCTCATGTCGACCAATCTGCGTCCGATCCGCCCTCGTGGGCATTCCGATGACAAGCCCCTCCCCGCATCGCCCCCAAGTCCAGCTTCCAAGGGACCCAAGGGGCGTATCGCGTGCGGGTCATGCCGAAAGTTACGGCAAAAGGTACGTCTCGTACGGACCGTCTTGTTTTCCGTTGCTTATGAATTAACCTCAGTGTGATGGCCAACGACCGTCGTGTAGCCGTTGTGCGGCGACTACTCATGATTGCGTTTACGAGGTCGATCATGGCGAGACGAGGATGCAGGGTATCCGCAGGGCAAATCGCCAATTGGTTGGACAGGTCGACAAATTGAAAACTCTCTTTGAGCTGTTGAAGTCGGCGGACAATGCCATGAAGGCCGAGATCATGGCTTGGCTGGCTGCGGACGAATCACCGGAAGTGATTCTGCGACGACTTAAGGAGGGCAAACAAAAACCACGAAAACCAAGAAATGAGAGTTCCAGCGACGGGTCGAGCACTTTGTTCGACCGGAAGTCTTCACAGAGTTCCTTGCCTAGTGTCAAAGTCGAGCAGGATGGCAACGTCATGCTTCCGACAGGCGCAGTACCGTGGCACATTGACAAGATGCACTACCTTCTTGACCAGGTCGATTCGATAGACCTAAGCAAAGACTCGCCATCAGCAGGAACAGAGACAGCCTTGTCACCTGAGCAAGAGGACCAAAAATGTTCCGAGTTTCTCAAAGCCACAGTCAAGGCGAACCAAGCAAATCATTCGGGTCATATTCTCCCACCAGGCGCTGTCGAAGGCTTCGGAAACTTTCCCCTTTCGAGCGCCATAAAAGCAAACCATTATCCTCCAGCAGTGCAAGCACGGCAATTGATGAACATGCGAACTGAGGAGTACCGCCTACCCTCATTCATGACCTCCGACGGCAGCCCACTATCGAACATATTCTACAGTTATAGGGATGCTGCGATGGAAATGCTCTCGAACGGTGTGCCGTCGTATCAGGTCCTGGGGCCTCAAGATCAGATTGACCTCGAGCTCTTCTTCCGAGACCGACAGCCTGGGGACGCATATGACGTTCACTCCTGGGCCTGTGAGTTGGTGAAGAATATTGAAGGGTACGATGTTTTCGTTCAGCTGGCAAGCTGCGCCCTTTACGCTACGTACATGAGGGTATGTAAAATAAATGACACAGAGAGCTCTGTGCATGCAGTTCTAACCGATCGAAGTGGAATATCCTCCCCACGGCAACTAATTACACACTAATGCCTGAGATGATCCGCCCGACGAAGCACCAGCGATTCATGCCACATCGTATGAATATTGACCTCGTACCACAGTAAGCTCCAACTTACAGGCGATGCTCATCTCTGACCACCTTGGTAGTCCTGCTATCCGTGATGCGCTGATCAACAGGTTTCGAGACTGGCTTTCTCCAGGTACGACGGATACCGGAGGTACCAGTGTTGGATGGCCGTACAGCATTGAGGCTGCGGTAGACATTTGTCCTTTGACTGGGCGGAGGATGTTGAGTCGGGCATTCTTCGAACACGCTACCAATGGGGGAAACTGGAGCTTGGACAAGTCGATACGAGCCTTGTTTCCGGAGATTGAGAGTATGGGCTTCCACATCAGAGACTAGAGGTTCTTCGACGAAGAGGTTTGCAAAGGATGATCAATACGAAGTCACCAAGGTTGTGCTCTTAATTGGTGAGAGATGACAAATCCGTGTAATGGGGCAAGATGAATTGATGAAAAAGAATTCTATTTTCGGGGCCCTCAGGGTCAATCTCAAGGTGCTATTTTCATACAAAGTTAATTCGCGCTACGCGGTGAATCTCCGACAGCGACCTTTTGTTGAACCGTCTGGCTGTTTGTTGCCTGGCGGTTGATTGTCTGGCGACTTTTTGTTGTCTGGTGGTTTGTTGCGAAGGTCGCAATCCTTTTCGGAGATGATCCTCGGATAGCTAGTGGGCGCCATCTGAGAGAATAAGGTGTGGCTGACAAGGTTGCCCATTGACTCGGAATTTTCAGGTACCGAAGCTTTTGGGCCCTGACTGGCATCGTTGCTTGAACTTCCCTCTGGTGGCTCAAAGGTCCCAGGATCAAAGCTGAGCTGAGAGCTGCCCTCAGCATTGGCATCCTGCCCGTCTTGCACTGACAAGGACGAACATGACCGAGTCTCCCTGAGAGTATATCGTTAGCAAGTAGAGACTGGCATGAAATGGCCACAAAGATAACTTACCCCTTTGAGATCAAGTCAGAGGCTGGCACCTTCTTCTCAGGCTCAGAGGGAGCCGAGTCCCTGTTCGGGCCTTGTGGTTGTGGGTTTTGCTCGGTCATGATGACTGATTAATGGGTGGACAACTAAATGTAGCCGAGAGAAAGGAAGGAAAGAAGCCGTAACGCGGCGATTGGATGCTCTCTGAGCGGTGGAAGTAGCCTGGCGGTCTTTCCACGGGAATTTAAGAAACGTTGGTGACGGTTCTCCGATGGATGTGAGAGAAGAGGGGAAAACGAGGAATCTTGCCAACATAGGGAGTCACAACTATATGAAAAGATTCGTTTGAGCTTTGAAATAACTATCAAGTAACTTGGGGACGAAAAATTCTAACAGGATGCGTCCTCGTCACCGTAGCCTTTTGAAACTCTCTTCACGACATATACGGATCACCAGCAACATCAAGTCACCGACCGACCTCTGTGGCCTGGCAGTATCGGAGATACACCTAGATCAACCAAAAGGCTCACACACGATGCTTTGAAATCAACACAAGATAGAACCTGTGGAAGTTGAGTAGCTATCAATGTTCTCATCAAAAGACTATAAGTACGGCTCTCAGCTTCTCTCATCTGGGCTGAATCTTTCTTCCCATCCATCCTCTTCACACACTTCAATCTACTACTCACTAAAATCTCCCACCCACTACAACTACCACACACAACAACTCCCACTCTACAATACTACCACTCTACCATCTACCACACACAAGTAAGTCAAATCCTTGTAATCATCTTTACAACCTAAAGACAGATCGAAAGTTCAATTCGGACCATCTATCTTGCAATCTATCTTGCCATCTATCATACTATCTGTCTTACTATCTATCTACTATTCATCTTTCATCTACCCTCAGAATCTAACTTCATCAAGACGCCAGATACTAGCCTCTGAGCTTCTACTAATCAATTACCATCCACTACAATCCCATCTACAAGCCCAGGCTTACACAAACAAACACCTATCTACAGCCCAAACAAACATCAATCGAAATGGGTAACTCTCAGTCCAGCGGCAGCTTTTGGAACGAGTGGGAATCTTCCCAGAAGGATGAGTGGCGAACCCTCGTCGACAGGGAAATTACAGAGACCCAGTGGGTTTCCGGCAACGACTACCTCATCATGATCAAGCGCGAGGAGTTCCTTTGCGAGAAGGAAAAGTTAATGAAGCGGTTCAAGGACGAGTGGATCGGCTGGACTGGTGGTCCTAAGAGTGACTACTTTTGGGGCGACCAAGTTTTCCAAGGTCGTCGGCGCCATCAGTGGGGCAGCAACTTTTACGCTGATGGCCACGATCAAGGTCGCACCCGTTACCGCTATTGAAGCACAGTCGACAATCGATTGACAAGCGTCGATTGAGGTCAACGCAGATGGGAGGTTGGGGGTTCTTGTGCAAGTAGAGTGGAATGCGCAACAGTGGAACGCCCGAGACATCTTTGCAGCGGCCTCCAGAGGTCTGAGGGAAAGAATCTCTGGAGGTCTCGTCGCCTGCCGAGCCTGTGTCTCGTGGTGTCTCGGGCCAAGATGTATGGTTGTTAGGTAGTTCAGGGAAAAAGAGATTTAGTTTTCTCACATGAATAAGTGCTCCGTGATGTGTGATATGCCTTGTCTTCACGACGAATTTTGACATCAACTATCCGGAAACGCTGCCAGCATAAATGAGATTCACCAGTTGGATGGTCAAAGACTCCATTGCCGGCCGGAACTATCGCAAGATTTTCATAACTCGCACGGAGTCCCTTTTGCGTACACCTCTTGAGGTTTTTCTACTAGGGTTGGTCGATCTCCCACCTCAATAAGCTGTCCATAAAGGTGCTCATCGCCCGCACTTCGTCAAGTTCTGTGTCTGTGATGAGATGGACCTGGTTAAACGGCATCCGTGTCCCGATCGTCCGGATCGCCAAGATGTATCGCAACTAGGGATGATCCTTGAGAACTTTGACCGCGAGCCTCCAACACCTGCAAGCATTGATTAATATAGGAATACTTGGGCTGAGTCAGTCGGGCCAAGAACCGGAGAGGTCTTGGTCGCAGCTGCGCCATTGCGCAGCAGACTTGGTAGAGACGCTAAGCTGATGCGAATGGCTGTTGTGAGCTTGTCGCGCCGAGCTGACGAGGCGATCAGTTCCACGTTTATATCCACCCGGCGCTTGGCGTATCGAGATTCATGTGTTTGGTCGCATTGAAGCGAAGTATTTAGAGAGAGCGCTTTCTGCTTCGAATTCGCTAATCAACTGCTGTTCACGTTCTTCCTCAGCATTGCCAACTTGATTGTTTTCCCAGTGCCTTCTCATATTTCTTCAACCTTCACCATGGCTTTGAGAACATTATTCAGATTTTCCATGTACTCCACGCGGCTATTCCAGATTTGCGCATTGGCTCTCACCATGTTTGGCGTGTACTGTTCGTCATGGTTGCGGAAAAGCCACGACCTGGCCACCAGCATTGAGGGAGATGGACTCGAGTATCCTACCCTCAACGAGACTCTTTTCATATTTACAGTAAGTGAGCGGCGGATTCGTCAATAAGTAATTCGAGCCAACAACTTCTCAGGCCATATTTCTTTCAGTCGAGATCGGAGTCAACTCAAGTATCCGCCGCGGCTCAGATCCTCGGATATCGGTACTGAGTCTTGCGCTGTTCACCCTCGGCTTTTGTGTCTTCGTTGCCATTCCAGAAACCCAGCGACACATGAGCTTGATTGGGTCAAATCAAGACCGCCTTCTCTGCGAGAGTTCACCGGGTCTTCGCATAAGAGGCGCGGTTGGTCGTGCCACGATAGGAGCTGGCATAGTGACCTGGTATGCCGCCTAGAATCTTGAGCATGCCGTTTTTCGACTGACTGTAGCGATACAGGACAACTAGTGTGGTCTACGTTCTGTTTGCTGTGATTGATTACGCAGAAACCGTCAAAGGCATTGAGACAGAACTGAGTCGTGACGAAAAGAGGCCGTTCTGGCATTCCGAGAAGCCGAAAGCAGATCTTATTTCAGTGTAGAGTTTTTCTTTGCAAGGAATCAAGTGGGTAGTGATGATGCTTGAAAAATGCCCATCACAAAGATAGAAACCAAGAAATAATGATCCACGTGTATGAAGTCTGGAGAAATTGCGGGCGCGTCCGATGCGTCGTCATTGAATTTACATTCATTTGATGGTCGGCATGAACAAAGTCAAAGGCTAGCCCAGCCATCCTTGCGTAGTTGCTCCCAAACTCTCCTCAATGGAGCCCATGCTCCGTGTCAGTCGAACCCGCTCAACTTCATCTACCCAAGAACAGCCAGGATGCCCTGAGCAACATCCTAGCCATTGCAGGCGTTTACGGCCCCTTCTGACATGTTGTATCTGCCCAGGCAGATAATCGTTAATTAGACCTGGGTTGTGTGCTCCAAGTCGCTCGAATGATGGGGAAATCCTGCCTGTCATCCGCAAGCCTCCGAGCAAGACACAAGGCTACCCCAATTGTGAGGTCTCCAGTGAAGAACAGTAGTGATAACTCATTCAACTTTTGCCCTTTCATCGATTTCAGGTCCGCTCTGGTTGAAACACTCTTCCCAGATGTACTCATGGCCTTGAAAGCAATCGGTTGTCGATTTTAACCCAGTAGGGAGAAATGTTGTAGACTATATTTGCAGGCACATCCCCTGGATTGGTGCAAAAGCTTGGTGGAGGGATAAGCGTTCCGCTGTCAGTTGTCGGCTCTTGGGTAGTTGCTACCTCGCCAAGCGATGGAAATTGGGGAATCTGTGACTATGGATATCGAGTTGGACCGGGTATTGATAGTTGATGATGTATTCCGCTTGGTTTCGCCGATGTCGAGTCGAATGTAGATTGTCAATTGACTGCGTGGATTCTGCCGAGGAACTAGGGGAGGACCGCCATCACCACAAGTCTGAGTCAAGTTCCCAGGACAAGGACTGTTACTCTTGTGCTATGGAAATAGAATCGGCACGGAGCTGTACACAAAGTCTCCGCAATAGCAGTTCGCGAAAGCGCCGGCGAACCTCGATTCGTTGAAGGCAGCGACGCAGATGTTGACATGATTATCATCGCCCTGTCTCACGAGAGCAGTAAATGCAGAGGTCTACGGCTTCCACTAAAATAACTCAAATACCAAAAGTGTTGACCAAGGATGGAGGTGAGTGTGTGGGGTTAGGCAAGGCCTGGAGGCTCACGGATAGATGCCTACTCGCTGGGCCTTGAAGTTGCCGGGTTTCGTCAAAATCTTCCAACACACGGGGGGTTTGACTTACTACTTAGCTCTATTGCTGGTTGAGCGATACATCTGGTCAAAATCCGGACAGCGCTCATCATATTTTCCATGATGGCGCTTGCTGTTATATGTGAGTGTTGAGTAGGTTTCTA